ACCAAAACCACAGTTTAAATTGAATACTGTCTCTAAACTGTGTTGAAATGAAATACCTCACCTACTATTTATACTGGCTCGCAGTTATATTTATTACTTGTTAGCCAGGATGCATTTAGAGGATTGGGCTCAGTAACAGCCTTCCAGGGAGTAGTGATGATGGTGATATTGATGGCTATGTAAGTGTCTTAACCTTCAGTTTCAAGTACGTCATTTCTTACTTGTACGTCAGTAAGTAAGTTTTCTTTTGTTAGAGTTCTTTAATTAGAGTGAAAAATGAGCACACAATCCACCCGATGGTAAATGGAAGTTACATCTATCCGCAATTAAGAATAAAATGCAGATAATATGCTTTGTCTAACCGTCGTCCTAGTAGGAGTGTGCGGAACCGGTATTGTGTTGTAAGAAGATGGATATTATTATCTTGTCACAGTAATAATAATCTTAAGGTTATATGCGCCACGAAGAAGCCATTACGAAATCTCACGCAGTAAAACATAACCAACAATATCTAAATGAAAATAATCTTATATATAAAAATTAATGTTTATTTGTAGCCATACCGTTCATCAGATAACGGTAAACTTTGTCAACTTATAGGTTATAGGCATAGTACAACGTGGCGCGCATATCGTACCGAGAAATTAATTTGTATAATATAGCTTTAAATTTTAATAAAGCATTAAATTTCAATAAAGTTATTATCATTCATAGTTAAACAATACATAACTCTTCCAAATTTACAATGATGTTTCCACAATTATTTTGCCTGCGACCAGCCTTCTGTACAGAATTCAGTCTTTTGTTCTTCTGTACCAGTCAGCAGTTTAATAAAAAATTTTAAATCTAACAAAAAGTTTAATAATTATTCTCTCTTTTAAACTATATAAAAGCGTAGGTTCCAAGAAATTAGAGCTTAATAAAAATTCCTTTTGACTAACGTTTGAGAATTCGGTTAATTAAAAAGTTCTAAGGCTGCATGTATATTTTGCTATTTTGCAAATTAAAATCTTACGTTCTCAAATTCTAGACAGTCACGTAATTTTAATATAATATTAAAAAAACAAATTAATTATTTTGTATGTCACTATTATAATCACGAACACAAAGATCCTCTCAGGCAGTAATTATAGGCGACCAAAACAAGTCAAGACTTCTCGAGCATCCTGCGGTACAGTTTCAATAAGTTCAAATGAATGAAGACCCAATGTCCTAACTTTGGAACTTGAGAGAGAATGAATGAGTACCCAATGTCCTAATTTTAGAACTTAAGAGTCATAAAATACTATTTTTATATCTCAGTTACTAAAATTAATATATCATTGATATTTGGTGGCACCATAGTATTGAATGACACTAGATAAATGAAAAAAACTTCAGAATTCCTATTTATTTTTAACTTTTTTAAAAATCACTTACAAAATAGGAACAACAAAAGAAAAAAAATGCTGCTATGGAATAAATATAATGACAATTATAATTTTGGTCAAGTTGGTACAAATATTTAACTATTAAAGCAATTATACCTTGAACTTAGTATGATTACATTATCCTGCCAAGATCACTAGTAGATCACACAGGACATCGTCTTCTAGAACATGTCGATCACGTCCTCGCGTACGTATTCGTACTCATCTATGTCCGCGCTGTGGAATCGGATCGCCATCGCCACATATTTTTGGCAGAATATCGGATACACTTCTCGTCACCCCTTCAGTGCGAACACAATGACAAACACATAACTTAAAGAAAACTGGTCTACCGGTTCTAGTACTAGTACAGCTAATCTTAGTCCAAAGTATTTAATAATGTCCTTCAGGCCCAATTTTAGTCACGGCTGCAGGCTCAAAGTAGAATAAACATCTGCGCAGGATAATATTATAAAGCTCGAGACTATGCGCAAGCACAGGTGCACTCCCTACTCCTTCCCTCTCATAGTCTCGTGGGGCGGTAATGTGATACGACTGGAGAGAGATCAGGCGCAGGACCAACGGCGTTATGTCCTCTTCGAATTTCTTGATACAAAAACCCAATAAACTACTTGCGACGATATTGAGCCTATTGGACAAAAAGTATTTTAGTTCTATTATTGGTACATTGAAACTTAGAAAACTAAATTATCATCAAATAGATCAAGTAGACCTCAGATTTATTCAAATACAACATGATTCTTATAAACACGCTAATACACAATTAAAAACCTGATGTTTTTGGTGGAATTTTAATCAAATGAGCACAATTATTGAAAATAACATCTTGTTTTTGAATTATTATATTATTGGGGTATCTATATAATTTTCTCACCTGGTTGGATTCTATAAATATATAATTATAAATTAAAATGAAAAGATAAATATACATAAATATCAATAACATAAAATCCACACAAACACTACATAACTAAATAAGATCCAACCAGATGGGAGCCCTCGGCAGGGGAGACCAAACGGGTTAGGGGGAAAGGGAAAGAAACCGGCGGACGATGCGGGCGGTATCGAGGAGCACCACCTTCTGCATTTGAGCCCGGAGCGGTCCGTCACGGAGTCCCAGTCGCCTCAGATGACCCGAGAGGCTGACTGGGATTAGCCCATTCGCAGAGACGACTACAGGAATAATTTCGGTCGGCATACCACCCCACATGTCGGTCACCTCGTGAGCCAGGTCCAGATATTTTGTTCGTTTCTCTGTTTCGGCTTTCACGAGGTTCTCGTCATACGGAATGGTAATGTCGATCAAAAATATCCTTGACTGTGCCCGGTCCATCAGCACAATGTCTGGCTTATTCGCAAGAATAGTCCTGTCTGTGATGATGGCCCGGTCCCAGTAGAGCCCGGCGCGGTCATTTTCGAGCACGGCTTCCGGCAAGTACTTGTAATACGGCAATTTTCGGTCCACGAGTGTAGAATTCTGGCTACTAGGTTGTGCCTGTGCAAGTACTCAGAGTTAGAAAGCGCCGAACAACCGGAGATGACATGCCTAAGTGACTCCCCCGGGAAGGCGACAAGCTCGACAGACGTCGACAGTGCCATCCTTTAGGATGTATCTCCGATAGTTGTTGGTCTTAATAACCTGATCCTGTATTGCACAGACAAAACCCTCGGTTTCTCCGAAGAGGTCACCGAAACGTAGCCAGTTGAAGGAGGCGGCTGTATCTACGTGAGGCTCATGTAGAGATCTGTAGTACCTCCCATGGAGCTCCTTCTCCTTCCATACGGTCTCCCGGTCCGAAATGCTCTATACTGCCGGGTCTAAGGATAGAGGGGTAAGTCCTTTATCACAAGAAATGACGTCATTATAGAATGGATCATCCGATCTCGCCAGGAAGTAATGACGGAGGCTGCACACTTCGCGATTATGCATGGTGAGCGCGCTCAGGAAGCCACGCCCACCATGCTTTCGCGGCAAGTACAGCCTCATTACCGACGATCTCGGATGATGCATCCTATGGGACGTCATTGTAGTGCGGACTTTTCTATCCAGGGCGTTAAGTTCATTCTGACTCCACCTGAGTATGCCAAAGGTATACATGAGGACAGGCATGACCCAACCGTTATATGCATGTGTCTTATTCACACCGGACAAAAGACTGTTAAGCACTTTGGTCAAGCGTGCATAAAGCACGTCGCAAACTGACTGTTTCATACCAGCCTAATCCATACCGATGTTCTGTGACATACCCAGGTATCGGTATGTTTCAGCCTCGGAAAGGGCCCTTAAGTTGACGGGCATAGATAAGTCTATGCCCTCAGAGTTAGCAACCCTTCCCCTTTCAACATGGAGGACCGCACACTTATCCGTCCCCAGCTCCATTCTAATAGAATTGCTAAATTCACAAGTGATGTTTAGCAATTCCATAAGATGGGATTCCATTATTATATTAATTATTATATTATTATTTATTACACCAGGAGTTACCCAGTCGAAATTCTTCCAATCTATCATTTTAATATTGGCGTATCTGATCAGGTTTTCTAGACGGTAGGACTCTTTTATATTTGAGAGTCCGTCTGGATAAGTTTACCTCATCGTATCTATTTACAGCCAAGCCGTAGTGAGTGACTACTGAGTTCCAGTTTGAAGGTTATAGAGAACCAGTATAATTACAGACTGCGAGGCGTAACATTTTAATCCTCTGTGGTGACAATGCATCGTAGCCATGTTTGTTTGATGTTGGTTGCTCGTATCCATGGATTTTAGTGGCCACTTACCATCATGTGGACTTTAAAACTTTGGAGTATAGAGTAACGTGAACGTCATGTGAACATTGTGCTCCCGTAATTTAATTGCTTAAAAATAGTTATTCAACTGTATCGTGTTAGATTTACCAAAAAAGTGGAGAAAACTGTTCAATACGTTTGTGAGAGTGTTATCAAGACATATAATACGCAAATTAGACTGCATTATTGTGAATCTTACGGTGAGCTACCCACAGCAATAAAACCGATATGTGCTATTTTATCCCAAAATAATACGAAATGCATCTTATATATCCATTGATAAACTGTGACGCAAATAAAAATAGAAATATAAAACAATAAATACTTTAGAAACTTAAAAACTTTGTATTTGTGATTTAAAGTGACGGTTGAAGAAAAATTTTCAAACATAATATGCAAAACGCTCATAACGAACGAATCCGTCGTTTCGTATTTGTTTGTAATAGAACTACTATTTTGGTAAACATAGTAAGTAGTAGCGTTGGCGTGTTGGCTACGCAGTCGAGATGGTCATTTGAGGTCGCAGGATCATATCTAACCTGCACAATTTGACTTTTTGTGAGTGTTTTGCGTTTTAATTTGTTTTCAAGCTAAATATGTTGAGTGGTCAGAGAAGTGTATAGTTTAGTCACGCTCCTAAGTTATCGTTGAAAAAGAACTGTAATAGTGTTTGTAAGCATTAAAATCATACATCAAAACAATCTTTGAACTGTGAACTATATGCATGATGAATAAACGGTTCTTGTTCAAGCGAATATATTATTGAAACGAACTTTTATCACTATGAATTGTGAAGCGTGTCGTAATCGAATTACTGGCGAGGAACTACTCCTATGTATAAAGTGTATGACACATTATCATTATATATGCCTGAACATAACTCAATCTTATTCCAAGGCTAACCTGGGCGAACTGAGAAGGTCCTGGATATGTCCACTTTGCATCAACGTAACTAGGCGAAAGGGAAACAACTGCAATACGCCTGTTCGGAAACAACTAGAAAACATGGATGAGTCTAGCATGTCCTGCGAAGACCTTACGATTAGTGAAAACACTGTTGAAATTAGTCGACCAGTCATGGACACAGTTGAAAATACACCCACGTCATCCGGATGTACTCCCGCTGCGAGTATCACATTGGACCAATTCTCGAGACTTCTAGATCTTAAGTTGGATACTAAGCTGGAAAGCTTTCAAGCATCTTTAATCAGAACAATAAGAAATGAAGTTAGTAATCAAATAGCCAAACTAAAAACCGAGTTCACCGTAACGACAGATTTTCTTGCGGAGGAGCAAAGGGACGTAAAAGCTGAACTTAAGACGTTGTCAGACAAGGTCCGCAAGCTTGAAGATGAAAATGTGCAACTACAATCCGAATTATCCCAAATGAATAAAACTCTGCAGGTCTTAGACAAATCCTCAAGAAACTGCAACATTGAAATCCAGTCGGTACCCGAAAAACGATCGGAAAATTTATTGTATGGGCTGATGAAATTGTGTGAGGTCATAAATTGCCCTATTGCTGAGTCAGACATAAAATCTATCCGCCGTGTTGCAAAAATGAACCCTTCGTCAGACCGTCCCCGCAATATTATTGCGACGCTGCACTCGGAACATCACCGCGACACTATCATCTCTGCAGTGCGAAGATTCAATAAAGCAAACAAGTTGTGTCCGCTAAACTCATCTCACATGGGCTTAGCTAGCGAAAAATACAATATCTACATATCGGAATACCTATCAGCTGGATGCAAGGCAGTACACGCCGCGGCAAGACAATGGACTAAAATTAACCACTACAAATTTGTCTGGGTAAAATACGGTCGTGTCTATGTTCGTAAAAATGAAGAATCCCCTGCCATACTTATAAGAGACACTAGTTATTTATCAAAGCTGCCGCCTAATAACCCTGTATAGAGTAGTCTAATTTATTTATTTCTTTCATTTTATTTTTTCTTTTTGTAATCTGATTAAACTCGAAGCATTTATTTGGTATCTTTTTACATATTTTTAAGAATGTACATATATTATCAAAATCTCAATAGAGCTAGAAGTAAAATAGATAGTCTTTATAAAAATTTTCTGAACTCTAATTACAATTTGATATGTCTAACTGAAACAAATTTCGATGCTTCTGTATATGATGGGGAACTGTTTGACGAGCAATACAATGTCTTCCGTAGAGATCGCGATACCACTTGTATTAAAAAGTATAATAAAGACGATGGAGGCGGTGTCCTCGTAGCAGTTAAAAAACAATATTCTGCTGTCAGACAGGTCTCCTGGGAAAGCGAACTAGAGGATGTCTGGATTAGCATATTGCCACCTAATATTAATGGTCAGACAATTAATGTATGCGTTTGCTATCTACCTCCATATCTTAATAAAAATGACCTGTCAAACTTCTATTCAAATCTTCAAAACATTATCCTAAAATCAAATGAACAGAATTGTTTTGCATTATTTGGCGACTTTAATGTACCCAATGTCTCATGGATCCTGTCAAACGAATGGCAGTATGACAGCTAGCTGCAATGAGATGGACTACAAGAGCGAACTGTTGTTAGATACTGTGGCACTCTGTGATCTGTCACAGTTCAACCCCATCCCCAATAATAACAATAAGATACTAGATCTTGCTCTTAGCACTTCTGGAAATATGACCATCACCAACGAGAAGACCTTATTAAAACATGATAAACATCACCCTGCCCTACGGATCGATTTCTCAAGACTCAAATTCCCTTAATTATAAACCTCTAAAGGTCAATGAGTCAAAGCGGCTAAATTTCTATAAACGCCAATACAAAACTGTAAAGCAGAGAATCAATAATACCAACTGGTCAGATCTACTTCATGGGGCAGATGTAGATGAGGCCGTGGCTAGATTTTACGATGTGATCTACGAAATTATTAATGATTGTACTCCAACAGTTAAAAACCGCTCAAATAAATATCCCAAATGGTTCAGTCTTGGCTTGCGTCGTTGTATGCGGGAAAAAAACAAATACCACGCGTGCTACAAAAAATACAAAAACCCACAAGATTACGATACATTCTCTCTCCTTCGAGCTAGATGTAAAAAACTCATAAACTGTTGTTACAATAAATACATCAGATCTATCGAAAATGGTTTGAAAAGACGTTAAGTCGTTTTGGAGTTACATTAACAGCAAAAGACGCAACAACTCGAGTATTCCCGACTCAATGACATTTGGTGAAACAACGGCTGCTGGTGGTAAGGAAATCTGCGATCTGTTTTCAGAATTTTTTGGATCAGTATTCGAAGATCATAGTCGTGGATCGGGTGTATCCGTCTGTTGTAGTCAAACAAATAGTCTTCTTACTAAAATCGTACTCACTGAGAACGAAATATTAACAAAACTGAGGCATCTTGACTCCAACAAGGGAGCCGGCCCTGATGGCATACCACCTATATTCCTGCGGGTATGCGCAGATGTACTGTGTCACCCGCTTCTGCTAATATTTAATAAATCACTGAATAGCGGTGTTTTCCCTTCTCGCTGGAAAAAGCTAACGTTGTCCCCATATTTAAATCTGGTGACCGAGATAACTGTGAAAATTATAGACCGATAAGCATTTTGTCAGCAGTATCCAAATTATTCGAATCAGTAGTATTTGATCACCTCTATTTTCATTTAAAACCTCTTATATCAAATAAGCAGCATGGATTCATCAAAAGGAGATCGACAGTCAGTAACCTTCTTAACCTCAAAACCTACATATGCGATGCTTTCAACAACCGTGGTCAGGTAGATGACATATATACCGATTTTAAAAAAGCATTCGATAAAGTGGATCACGCAATTTTATGTAAGAAACTCGAGTCACATGGTATACATGGCAGTCTGTTGCGTTGGCTCGAGTCCTACTTGAGGAACAGGAGTCAGCTCGTGACCGTCAAGGGGTACACATCAGAAGAAATCCTCATTAAGTCCGGTGTTCCACAAGGATCCCGTTTGGGCCCCTTACTTTTTGTGACCTTCATTAATGACCTCATTGAGAAAATTCAGTCCCCTTTGCCTGTTATACGCTGACGACCTAAAATTTTCAATAGAATTGGTGGAGCTGACGACACTCGCATCATACAGGAAGACTTAAACAACTTGTCTAATTGGTGCAGAGAAAATAACATGTTCCTTAATGTCAAAAAATGCTTTGTCATCACCTACACACTTAAAAAAAAACAAGGTATTAAACAATTACATCTTAGAACAACAATCTCTATCTCGTGTGTCGTCTATTAAGGATCTCGGGGTCGTGTTTGACGAACAGCTTAGTTTTCGCCAACATTACGATCTCATAGCCAAAAAATCTAACCAGGTACTAGGTTTCGTTACTAGATAGAGCAGGCACTTCAGGAATCCTCAAAGTGTAATTTTGTTGTATAACAGTCTGGTTCGAAGTAATTTAGAATATAGTTCAATTATATGGAATCCATACTATGCAGTGCACTCTGAGCGCATTGAATCGATCCAATCCAAATTTTTGCGTTTATTAAGCTTACGTACTGGCAACAATAGAAGACTCCGGTCATATGCTGAGAGGCTTAAAGAGTTTAACATGATACCACTTCACCTCCGTCGCGACGAATTGGACCTAGTCAACCTACACAGAATAATACACTCGGAACTGGATAGCCCCGAGGCCTTGGAACTGTTAAATTTTAACATAAGACACAACCCACGTAGACCTATGAAAAAAATATTTGACATACCCCTATCGCGAAATAATATCTCTCGAAATCAACCCCTATCAAGGTTATGTCGACTTTATGAGGATTATAGCCTTCGCTTTACCAACCTTGACATCTTCAACTCTAGCCTGGTTCGCTTTAGAAATGTTTTGAAAGACATTCTCAAGGACATCCCCGTCGATTGATATTCATTATATTTATAGTTCTTGATTTGTTGGAATTGTGAGTAGTTTAAGCAATTTTATTTAAAATGTTTGTTTCTCAATCTTGGCATGCCGTGATAACACGTATAAGGATTATGTCTTGTATTACACCATTATTTTTGTAAGTTATAGCTTTAAGTCGTGATGTAATCTGTTGTGTTGTCCTATAATAAATAAATAAATAAATAGAAATAAAATTGATTGTCACTCTAATATCTAATATTATCTTTCTAAGGCAGGCCCCCGAAAAATGATAGCTGATGATCCGGTATGGTCCGAGCCTATCACTATATGAAATAAAAGTAATTTCAATGTCTCTCTACAATAGAAACAGAAACAGAAACTTTTTATTTAATGTAGGTTACAAACAATACTTATTGAAAGTCACTTTTTTTCATTTACCACTGGTTCGCAAAAAACCCTCTGTCCTGGGAAAAAATCAGCAAGAAACCCAGCGGTACATTTTTTTTTTCAAATAATAGTTTACAAGATGATTCGACAAAGCTTATTAATACACAAACAATAAAATTAAACTAACTCAAGTAACAACAACACACAAAACTACTTTGTAGATAATCTCTTGTAATAAATGTGGCTTTGCAGCGGACATTTTAAGCAGAGTTAAGTCAAGTAACAATAACGTCCCTATAAATTTAACTTAACAAACCGTTAGCGCGACGTTAAAGAACCACTTAGAAGTTTACCGAAATTTTATATTATTTATTGTCTCACAGCCATATAGCTGGGTGTGCATGCAACGATAGTTTATAAATGTTAGTTCAAAATCGTAATCGTGTTGAGACGGTGTAAGACTATCGACTACCCCATATTGTACCGTGGGTGACGTAAGAGGTGACCAAAGGATACCAACCAGGAGATGGGCAGCAACGCCTTCCTAATAATAACTAAAAATAAAAGCTGTAGGTACTGTTATTTATTCCGTGGCTGTGGCAGCCAACCTGCCTGCCGAGCGTAGCAACTGTTTCAAATATTCCCTCTATGAGACAATCTAAGAGGGGGGGCCTGTGTTCAGCAGTGGCACAACCCGTGAACCTCACAATTGCGCATAAAAGAGAAAATTTCTTATCTAAAAATAAGTCAGCTACATCATCATCATCATCATCATTACCGCCCTTCACAAGTCCACTGCTGAACATAGGCCTCCCCCAAGTAATGCCAAAAAGCACGGTCCTGAGCCACCTGCATCCATCGACTTCCTGCATACCGTGATTAATTATAATTATTTTTATAAACAAAGTGTTATTGTAATGTTTGATAGATAGAATGTTCATAAGTTAACACGCACTAGAGACAATTTTATAAGTATCCGATAGAATACTTGTGAATACCGTATCGAATACTTAACTTGTAATATTTAACTTGTACTAAGTCCAAGCCTAAGAATACCTGATATTTTCGTTGGCAATAATATAGTATTTACCTTTCACAGGTCGCAGACCTCTGTAACGTATATAATTCCTTTCTTACTAAAGAGCCGATTTTGATATGAAAATAGTTCACCACTACGTGTTGAAAGACTTTACACGTCCTGCAAATATTTAAAAATTTTCAGACATCATAATTATCATCACCATGGCAGCCCTTCAAAAGTCCACTACTGATATAGGTCTACCCCAAGGAATGCCACAAAGCAACTGAGCAACTCGCATCCATCCACTTACTGCATGTCTATCTAACCAAGTCACTCTACGAAGCACGTGCTAAATCAGCATTTTAAATACTAGTTAAATTATAATTTTGGTAATTAACTTTAATTTATTTTTCTTAAGTTATTATTGTATATTATTTTTTATATAAATAATATTTTTTTATTGGGTTCAAAAATGGAATGTAATGTTTACATGGTTCAGGTAACTTGAAAAAAAGTATCAAACAAACGTTCATTCTAATAACAGTGAACACGGCATGCAACAAGTGGACGAGATAACAAATACAAATAAAGAAAGGAAAAAGCTCTAAAATAATAAATATTAATTAATTAATGGCTAATCTAATGTAAGCCCTTGCTGAGGCCATAGAACCATGAAAGATGACAAATCACGAATATTATTAATAATTTAATTGGTGCCGACATTTTATACGTGGTAGAGCCACGCTGCAGTTATATTAGAAGTATAGTTGTAGCACGAATGGTTCGGCTCGACCGAGGAAGGACCACGCTCTCACAGAATACCAGCGTAAAATAGTAGTTTAATGCTACTGTGTTTCGTATGGTGAGTGTAGAGAACCGGAGACCCTTTTTACTGGAAACGAGGGATTCCATCTTAGTCCTCATGGGTGACAATACATCTGCATTTTGATTCGTAATCGAGGATAGATGTGGATGTCTATGGGCCAAAGCAACCACTTACCATCAGGTGGACTGTGTGCTCGTTTGCCACCCTATCCTATAAAAAAATGAATCGAACTCTGTTTTCTCAGTGCCTCTTCCTTATATTAATACTTACAGCTCGAATATGATTATTTTTAATTTATAACCTGGGTACATACAGATAAGATGCGTTCGCTATATTTTATCAAACATAATGTCACTGGTAGAACTAAAATTATTTCGTATGCACAATTAATTGTAAGCTATGAGTTGTGAAACGTGAAAATATGAAAATATGAATCGTATTTTTATTTAAATTAAACTGAACAAATTAGAACCCTCCTCATTGGAATTGTGTCACCACTTTGTCAGCGTGGAACGCTTTTTAAATTAAAACACAGTCTTGGAAATATTAACTAAAATATTTGGCAAGAAGAAACATTTTAAATATTGCTTTAATTTATTTCGTTTTTTAATTATTCGTTCTTTTTTTATAA